CCTTCTTGAACAATAGCACAACCTTGCATCTTCTGTTTGTCTTGGTCCGCACAGGATAAGATCTGGTCTTCCGCTGAGTAGGGAACCTTCGTACAAGTAACGTGTGAAGAGCAGAGCCAGTGTGTTAACGAGGACAGGCAGATGGCTCTTCAGGTGTTCATATCTTATCCTGTACAGACCAAGTGTTCTTCGACTAATAACTGGTGAGAAACAATATATCCGATTTCAGAAGGGGTAACTGGTGGGACGATATATCCGTCCTACTTTAACATCAGCAACTTTTATACTGTATGTGTTTTTGTACCGAAATAAACGTATGCTGTATAACAACCTCGCGATTGCTAAGAAGAAAAAAACGACGCATCCTCTTTCATTTCGTACGAGCGGAGGGATTGCTTTCTCCATTGCCTTCCTGGACGTCCGGGCGTTGGAGTGCAATCGTTCTAGTTTTATAATTGGCGAAGCTACGATTCGCTTTGTGAATGCTTTTCCCAACCTCCGCAGCTTAGTCAAAACTGATGCTCATCTCTTTTTAAGATCTCCTTTTATCGCCTCTCTGAATTGTTTTGCAAGTTTGGACGTAAGTTGGTGGTTGCCCACAGCTTGTGCTATTCCACGCTGGCATATCGGCTCGAGTGTTTCTGGAGGCAGACCTCTCTTGGTGACTTTCAATATGTCAACTTTCGTAGTACTAACGCGAAGATATTGAATGGGCCAATCGTATTCCTCGTGGACGTTATCAAGAATGGCATCTTCCCAACAAACGACTGACGAAGCGAATAAATCCCAGTTTATGGTGGTTCAGTGACTTCGTTTTTTAAACTTAGCGGCTTTTTCTTCTTTCCGTGAGAAATTAAACCTTGCACGAAGCAGGTAATGGTGAGCTCCGCGTAGTATTCTGGGATAACAGTGATATCGGTTAGGCAAAACTTTCAATTTTCTACGATATGGCCTATTTCTTTATGGCACTCTCCATTGGGAGACTCCCATGCACAGCACTAAGAATGGCGTTTCTGGAATTTTGAGTTAACCATGAATGGTCTTGGTTATGATCGAGTTCTATGTATACATGAGGAGTGCGACATCGAAAACCCCAGCACTCAAATTTCTACGGATCTCCCTCCATGGAGAACCACGAGGGATCTCACGCCACTTAGTCGCAAGGCAACGTGGTGCGCATCTGTATGACAGACAGGGGGTTATTCGCGGACCAAAGATGCCCTATTCATTCCTGAGATGTGGATGCATCCACAGGATGGGTGTTTCTGGTGTGCCCATTTAATATATACCTTTTGTGTTTACGAGGATGCATTCATGCATGCGTGTATCGGCGTTTCTCGTTTATGCGGATTGTATTCTACGAGTAAATTCGGCAAAACTTTGCGGTCAAGTGACAGGAAAGTGTATAGGAAGCACATAGGAGACGACTCTAACAAATTAGCTCCTCACCGACTCCGGAGCAGACTGGCAAGCTACCCGTAAGTATATCTAGCAACCCACGTTCAGAGCTCAGCAAGCTATACGTGAATACCAAACGCTAAACAGTAAAATAAACGGGCCTAATTCCCCTGATCCCGAAAGTGCCCCCAATTTCGCAGCGTTGGGTAGGAGGAGTACGAAGCTGCTAAAACCTCAGGGCCAATGGAAGCTGCCTGGATCACGAAGAACTAAGGTGACGATCTGTATATGTAATGCACTTACACTTGCATCTGAGTCCTCTATAGAATACTTCATCATGCAAACGATAAGGATAAGGTACGGCGTCATCGGACTGACCAAGAAGAGAGGAGGCCACCTATTAAACGCCGTTCACGACACCGGAAGAGAAGTGCTCCTCGAAACATGCGACAATAGAGAAGTCGGCGGCGTCAGCGTTCTCTTCAACGCGAGTTTGGACATGAACATCGATTAATTCGAACAACTAACAACCCGAATCGGACGTTTACGATTAAAGAGCTGTGATTAAATACCGGCTTTGGCACTTTTCGTTGCTTACGCACCGACACCAAACTATCAAGAAGAAGTTCAAGCGTTCTATTCAGACTTGGAGAAGTTCTACAGTGAAGACCATACATTCTTCACTGTCATCGCTGGAGATTTTAACGCTAAAATTGGACCCAGAAAAACGTTACATTGGGACCAACGGATTACAATGGAACGAGCAGGGAGAGTGGCCGAGTTTATCATGACAAAAAACGAAGTCTCAAAACCACCATAAACTGGGACATATTCAGTTCATAGTCGGCTGTTGGGAAGATGCTGTTGTCGATAACATCGACGAGGAATACGATCGGCTCATTCAACATCTTCACTTTAGCGCTATGACACCTGAGAGTTCGAAAGTCACCAAGAAACGTCCTTCTCCAGAAACACTTAAGCCGACAAACCAGCGTGGAATAGCACGAGCTGCAGGTAACCGTCAACTCACGTCCGAACCTGGAAAACAACGCATATTGGCGATAAAAAAGATCTTAAAGAGAGAAGAGCAGCAGCTATGGTCGAAACTGCACAGGCTGGTAAACATTCGCAAAGCCCGCCAATGCTTCACTAGTTACAATACCAAGATGGTAGCACTCTGACAGTCAGACAGAACAGTTACAGTGTTCAAAAAGGCAACAGAGAAAACCATTCACGACTAGTACTCTTCACTCTGATCACTTCAAAAAAAACAGGCCCTCTTCCCTCATACGAAATAAAGGAGGACAGATAGATAAAACATTCACCAGTTCTTCTGAATTTCGACATGCTATTTTGTCGGTGATGAAACGAATACCTAGTCCGCACAGGATAACACCTGAACACTTGAAGAAACGCCTCAGAAAAGAGTCCTCATCAACACACTGGCTCGGCTCTTCACACGTTACGTGCTAGAATGGAAGGTTGCTATTCAATGGAATACTAGCAAGATTATGTTGCCGTTTAAGAACAAAGACCTCCACAATATCGGCAACTATCACTCAGCCTGTATGCTGTCTGTGGTCTACAATTTTTTTTGTTATGCCAGGTAGGTTTGAAAGAACTGTATGAATGGCAGTCACGTGGGCAAGCAGGATTTCGAACAGGATTCGGTACGATAAGCCAGGTTCACACGATAATAAGACTCACTGAAATAACGCGAGAGTAGAGGAGACCGCTCCGTCTTCCTTTCATCAATTTGAGGAAAGCTTTTCACTCTATTAACATAGAAGCAGTCGTAGAAGCCCTGGACGGTCAGGGAGTCCCTACTCAGTATATCAAGATTGTTCATGGGCTATATAAAAATTTCACAACCAAAATAGCACTGTTCTACAACGCTATTAACATCGACGTCAAAAAAGGGATTAGACAAAGCGGTGCCACCTCGCCAAAATTATTTACCGCCACACTCCAGAACGTCATGCGAACATTGGAATGGGATAATATGGGAGTGAAAATGGATGGTCTGCAATTACACCATCTTCGCTTTGCTGATGACATAGTTCTTATAACGCCAAGCATTAGTCAAGCGGAACGTATGCTTGCCGACTTTGATAAAGCCTGTAGAAAGATTGGTCTTCGACTAAATCTCGCAAAAACGATATTCATGAGGAACGGATTGGTTTAGTATGCCCCATTCGCGCTCAACGGAATGAATATCTCGGAAGGTTCCATATTTAGGTCGGAAAGTCAACATAATAGACGACTTAGCTCCAGAGATGAGCAGAAGAAAATGAGTGACTTGGAAAGATTTCAAGAGCATCGAGGATGCAGTGAGGGAAACAGAGAACACTCGACTTCTGCCAACCTTTTCGACTCCAAGATACTTCCTGCCTTTCAGAAACCTCGCTTCGTAACCAGGATGAAGAGTCATTCAGCGTTATTGAACGTGCAGTCGAAAGGACGATGCTAGGAGTATTCCGTTTCACACAAGTAAGGGATGGGGTCCGAAGTTCCGATCTGCGTCAACGATCAAAAATCAAAGATGCCGGTCTGTACGCCAAACAGTCGAAGATAAGGTGGGCGGGACACGTAATACGTGTCAACAACTAATGAACAAGAACCGTTAGTGACTGCACTCTTCGGAACGTCAAACGTACTGCAACTAGACAATCGACGCCATGGTTAGAGTTCTTTACGAGAACGCTGGAAGAAGATATGATGGGCAATGAGTCCCTACAATGAGCAGAACCCAATGAGCTCTTCCATGCGACAAGGACAAATCGAAGATTTACTGATGCCGCATCGGGCCACTTGACGACCAACGGGACGACAGGTGATATATGCCTGCATGCACCTATATGTTTATATTCATACCTATATATATATATATATATATATATAAATATACATATATATGTATATTATATGCATATGTATGTATATATATGCATATGTATGTATTTGTACATGTATATGTGTATGTATATACATATATATATTTACATACATATACATGTATGTAGATATACATATATATATATATATATATATATATATATATATGTAACGGTGCTCCAGAAGTAGTGAAACAATATGAGACACCGAATGGAGCACCGAATCGAGTTGGAAATGCTAGAGAACGAAAGAATGTGGGAGAAATCAGTGCTTTTAAGAAGAGAAAGAACAAAAGCGTAGAAAATGTGGGCTAAAATGTATCCTCCGAGAGATCCGCGAGTGGAAATCATCACTAATAGTTTTAAAAATAGAAAAGAAAGTGCTAACCTGATGGCATATTACAATGAACTACATGAGAGACATCCAAAATCGTAACCCTGAACACTGAACAGCACGGAACAGGACGGGTCTGGAAAAAGCGCACAAATTAGCATAAATTTTTCAAAAAAAAAATGAAAAACGAATAATCAATAATGCGGTCAGGAACCAATGATTATGTTTTCGTTTAACAATAGGTTAAACATTTTTATTGAAATATCACAACAACACCTAGACATTTTAAAAACCAACAGTAGTTATTTACACAGCGGTAAATACACGGTATAACGGAACCGTCATATCGTAAAGACCACTTCTAGCTGGTTTTCTCATTCGAATTGCTTCAAGTATTCCGTCACTTTGGGGTTACCCTTAATGGTCCTCAGGTACTTATTGTATTGATCACGAATTATTTTGAAAGCGAATGGAGTGGAATACGGCAATCGAGTGACAGGATCACGATATCGAGCTGGCTGTCCCGTCACGGCACAAACATACGACGGTTTAATATCAGGCTTTTTGAATTCCTAAAGAAAGTCAAATTTTCATGCGATTGAAATGCATACTTGAAAAATATACAACTTGGAAAATAACATGGATCGAAGGCAAATTGTAGTTTCAAAAACCAGTGAAGACAAATAGTCAATTTCGAGCACTTTATAGATCCAAAGGTGCATTTTCCACAACTTGCATGAAGCATTTTTACCGCTTTCAAGAATTTCACTAGCTCTAATTATCATATATTTTTAATAAATGATTCACGGAGATAATATTGGTGGTCAGGTGAGAAATTCCCCATTTTGCAAAAGGATTTCCAGGATTGCAAAAGAAAAAGGAGAGGGGCTGATTATAAAAGACCACTTGAGGCTTTTTGGATAAATGCCAAAAATCCTAAAGTGAACAGTAGGGAGGAATGCCCCATACCTTCGCTTAGATCGTTGATGTGGGGAGGTGCAGTCGTCAAGCATATACGACGTTGATCAGCGGTTCTTCCTCAGTGGAAGGCATGTAAAAAAAAACGGCGGGTTTTTCGAGAAGCTGTTGACCATGTGACTATGAAGAAGGCGATTCTGCCGAAACATCAGCTAGGTTGTGTTGTATGTGTGTTATTGTATGGAAGTAAACGTACGCTGTTTAACAACCTCGCGATTACTGAGAAGAAATCGACGCATTTATAAAAGGAGTGTTTGGCCTACAGTTTCGTCTAAAAGTCATCCATAATTCCTCGTTTTCTGTCTCAGCAATCGCAAGGTTGTTAAACAGCGTACGTTTACTTCCATACAATAACACACATACAACACAATCGTAGCTGACGTTTCGGCAGAATCGCCTTCTTCAGAGTCGTTCTTACGCCTTCCATTGAGGCAGAGCCGCTGATCAGAGTCGCATATGGTTGATTGCTGACACAGAAAGCGACGAATTTATAATCCAACGCCGAGGTTAATAGAAAGTCGATCCTGGGAACTGTCATCTACAATCTTTTCTTTAACCCTATTGTCTGCTTTTTTTACTGCCTACAAAATAATTTCAACAAATTTGCGATGGTTCAAAAGCTGTAAAATGAATAAAGAATGTGCAAAAGTAAAAACTGTGAAAGTAATAGCAGATAAACTACTTTATCATAACATTTTCATACTATGTAAGAAATTTTGACATCTTAAATCTACCAAAACGAACAAAACCGGCGTATTAGCAAATTAAGGCAGAAATAGAGACGGGAGTGCAACGCAGTGTAATGTGGTGGTGCTCACTCACGTGGTAGCAAATAAGCCAATCATTCATTCCGTTCTACCACTGTCACTCAGTGAATGGCACAGTCATTCACAAAGAATGGACGCTATGTTAGTGACGGCCCACAACCAATTCAATTTCTTTTCTGAATATATTTAAACTGCTGAGCTTACAATACGTTCATTTTGTTACCGATGTTAAATGACGGTCGATTTGAGAATTGTTTTGTATGTGCTTCAACAAATCAAGAAATGTAACGCTAATTTGGCGTGGCACCTTAAAGAGATCGGTCCACTTAATGTTTTGGAATACACTTTCATTCTCTACACTGCTATATTTCAAAATTCAAACTCTAATCCTTTAAGAACTATGCGTAATGGTTTCGATGTTTACGTTGCCGTGCGTTCCAGACCATACATCTTGATTTCAATGCGTACACTTTTTTCTGATCTATTCAGTCCAACACAGATATTATATTAGTGCCAAACCATGGATAGGTGTTCTTGGAGAAATATACTTGGAAAAAGCAGTTTCCGAATGGTGGAACTGAATAGGTGGATATAGAAAACATAAAAGAGACAAAGACTTCAAATATCGTACAAAACCTCGAGAAAAGCTGATAACACCCTGGTTAGATAACGGACGAATCTTTTTTTTCATTACAGACAAGAAGAGTTCAAGGAACTGGGGACATACAGAGAGAAACACAGCAGATATGTAGAAGCTAGAGAGAAATGGAAAACGTGCGAGGAACCGAAATAGCGCGAAAACCTCAGGAAACTGGCGCGCTGTTCATTTTTACACGGCTCACAGACTGTACGTCTTAACATCAATGCGCCCTTCTATAACACTTCAACGACATTTGGCCCGGTGCTTCTGGCATGTGAAAATGGCAGCAGTGGTGAAAGGGTTAGAAGGCGCATGCACAGCTGTGATCAGAGATGTCCTTGAGTACGTCGCTTTGATTTCGCGCGCTGGGAAAACAAGGCCCGCCACCCCTTCGAGATCATGAAAGTCCTGCCAGGATTGTCCGAGAGGAGAAAAATGCCGACTTGAACGTCAGCAAACCCCAGAAAGTTATTTTGTAGGCCAGATAAGCATTAAATCATTTGTACAATGCTTGATGAAGTCGAATGAATGGTCCACTTCTCAGGAAGGACTGATCTACGCCGAAATCACATTTTAACTGAACATTGAGCTAATCTATACAACATGAAATGCAAGAAGAATGACAACAAACAAGTGTTGTTCTAAAGAAACTTGAAACGCTTTGCGTGTTTCATTTCTGGCTTCACATTTTGTGATAATTTGTAATCCAACGAACTAAGTAAGTATTCTATATTTCAGACACGAAATTGTTAGCGATCAAATGACCGAGGAAGGAAGATGGGTCTGTTTGCCCTTCGCAGAAATCAGAAGTGCACAAGTGGTACATTACTTCAAACTACGTTAACAGTGCTCACCTGATTCGAAATATTCATAGAACCTACTACCATAGAGTAACATCTTCATGTGGAACATAAAATATTGAGAAAAGTGGAAACACCACTATATTTTAACCATTAATTCCAACGCTTCAAAGTAGATGTAAGATGAAAAATTGCACTTATAATCTAATACAATCTCAAGAATGGCAAACGCAAGATAGTGTAAAATTTCGAAATATAACTCGTATGAAATGCTGAGATATTTGCAAAACTCCGGACCACAGGTGTATGCAGTGAGGAACGAACACGCGCTGTTGTCCTTACCAGGGAGCAGCGCACTTCACCACTACACCATCCGGATCCTTCGCTTTGCAATGTCTCTCAGCTAGTTCTATCGATCTTTGCAATCACTCGTCAGCGGGATTGATCTGGGGAGCCAATATCGGCATTGAACCCAGTTAAGCTGAGGCTTAGTTATCATCACAATCTTAACTCTTCCAACAATCTAACAATCTTAAGAAGAAAAAGGCAGTAAATAAAAGAGTTAAGATTGTGATTATAACTAAGCCTCAGCTTAACTGGGTTCAATGCCGATATTGGCTCCCCAGATCAATCCCGCTGACGGGTGATTGCAAAGATCGATAGAACTAGCTGAGAGACATTGCAAAGCGAAGGATCCGGATGGTGTAGTGGTGAAGTGCGCTGCTCCCTGGTAAGGACAACAGCGCGTGTTCGTTCCTCACTGCATACACCTGTGGTCCGGAGTTTTGCAAATATCTCAGCATTTCATACGAGTTATATTTCGCAACATACCCTGCCATTAAGAAGAAAAAGGCAGTAAATAAAGGTGTTAAGAGTGTAAAGTTTCCTCCACAGAAATGATATGAGTGGAAATTTTCCAAGAGAACTCCTACCCCAGTGAATGGGAAGACCAAGGAAAAAAAGTTACCATAAAGTAGCGAAATAAAAGGATAAAGCTCTCGGCGTTGATCAATCCCTGAGGGTTGCGTCATGCATTCGACCTCATTAAGCATCGTTTGGAGGTGATTGAATGCATATCTGGCCTTTACAATGGCTCTCGTTGGCCTCCGATGTATCAAGCCAGTGCTGCCATCCTCCTAGAAAACTCTGGTACCTATTTGCCTACCCCAGATGGATGGAAGGCTTGGTGAGCTGCGGGCGCAAGGATCGATCCCATGCATTGCAGGGCGCCTCCTACCACTGTGCCACACACGCCCTTTGTGCCACGAATACGAATACCAAAGAAAAAAATTGTCACAAAGTAGCGAAATACTAAAAAAGCCCAAGGTTAACGATATACTCTCCGTTGTAGGGTAAGCTCGTAATGTTCTTGAAAAACGTCTCCGGAACTTTCTACGTCATTTAATTTCTAATTAGTTAAAAGACTTAGAATATAATGGCAGTGATTACTTTTGGTAAATAACAAGTATATGAACATATTCCATAGGTACAACAATTTATCACCATTATCTGATGGTGACTGGACCTTTATATGCTAAAAGACGGAAACTATACGAAGAGCACACCTTAATGTCGGGAACGATCACACTGGTCTCACGGATCGTGTCCCTGACTGAAATAAGCGGTGGCGGCACCCGTCGTCTGGTCGCCGCGTGCTCACGCTTCTTCTTCCGCTCCAACTCGAATTGCTCATATCTGCAAACGACAACGGCTCTTTCATGATGAACTGGACTGCCCATAAGAGAATTAGTCTTGAATGCTGCGAACATGAACACATCGACTTGCCCCTACGCAGCTGGAATCACTTGCGAACCAAGTTGCAGAAACGAACCAAGATTCCACCATATACAAACTGCACTTAAAAGAACACACCATTTCCACGTAGAGGAAATCGCCCCATTTTCCAATGCGTTTGATTTTTTGTCTGGAACTTCTCTAGTTTCTGTAATTTACCACCAAAGGCAACAGCAATTCCTCCTCAGCTCTTCTTTTAACACAAATTTTTATGGAAGAATTTCGATCTTGTCTAAAGCAATCAGATATGGAAATTAAAATTTTAAGGGAGCATGTTTTGAGCATATTATGGAGAAATAGGCCAAAAAGTATTCGTATTCATGAAAATATAAAGTACCGAAAATTGCTGTTCTGTCATATGGGGTGGCGAAGTGATGTTACCAGTACGGTTCGTCACCGCAGGATTATAAGGTTAACGAATGGTTCGGCATTCATGATACTTGATAGGAGCTACCCTGTGCATGAATTGCTATAGTCTTGGAAGAAACCTAATCAGAATGCAAGGACTCTCTCGCCGATCCACAAAAGCCGGCGACTGCTAGCAGTGACGCACCAGCATGGTTTTTTCAGGACTTCAGGAAAGAAAGCAACTTGTGCATCAATAAATACCCCAGCAAAATGGATGTCTGCACGTTTCGTACAGATGAATCACTAAATCATCAAGTCAGTACTGAACGCGTCGTTTTCTTGTTCATCAATCGCGAGGTTTTTAAAACAGCATACATTTACTTCCATAGACAAACACAATACAGTACAACACTAGCTGACGTCTCGGCAGTATCGCCTTCTTCAGAGCCTGGAAGGGTATATCAGATACAATCTACTAGGCCAAACGCTTCAATAACACTTACAAAAAGACGAAGAACTCTCCGGTAATTACATGATCAACAACTTCTTGAAAAACCCACCGCTTTTTCGTGACTTCCAATGAGGAAGGTTACCACAGCTGATTATAGTCGCATTTGGTTGATGACTGCACCATCCCATATCAGAAATTGATGCGAACATACGGGGTCAGGTCGCGGGTCAGGTCGCGTATGACCTCTGGGCATTCATCTCTGCTATTCATTGTAGGATTTTTGGCATTTATCCAAAAATCCTCAAGAAGTTTTCGCCCTGGTGTTTTGGACTCCTGTGCAAGGATATTGACTTTTACTTCAAAATCGTCTCCGCTATGCTTTTGTATCCTATGCGTGCCTAGTGGGGTACTTCGTCTTAGTTTTCGTTTGCCATCTAAGTGTTCCTTTATACGGATACACAAAGGTCTGCCCGTTTCGCCAATATATTCATCTCCGCAATTATTACAAAAGATCAGGTATATCGTACCTGAACTCATGCAATCACCATCCCTTCCGTAAGGGCAAATTACGCAATTTTTTGTTTCACACAGACGGTCATACAGGCGGTTGCGAACTAATTGGCGACGTAGAGTAGTCGGTGGTATTTCAACTGTCGCTACCGATTCCTCTAGACCTGCCCTTCTTAAGCATCGTTTTATAGCTACGCTTACTTCGTCGCTTATAAAAGGCAACATAAACGGGATTTTCTTCTGGCCAAGTGTTTCGCGTGGGCGCGTCGCTCTCCTTTTAAACTTATCTCGTGGGGTTACTATTTCATAGCCATTGGAGATAGCTATTTGCCGAGCCAAGTCGCGCGATTCTTCCTTTAGTTCCCTGGTAGTGCACACAGAGGTGCCTGTTCGAAACATGTTTCTCACAATCGCCCACTTTGTGTGTGAAGGGTGGGAAGAAAGGAAATGAACGAGGATGTTCTTGTTACTTGGCCTTCGGTACCACTTTGTCAATTAACCGCTACTTGATAGGTTTATTTGAACGTTCAAAAACGGAAGCCAGTCTTTTCTCGGTTTCTCCCGGGTGAACTTTATGTACTCAGCCTGCTCGTTCAATAATTCAAAGCATTTGTCCATCTCCTGCGTAGAAAAGACGACAAAACAATCATCTACATATCTGCAGTGGAGTAGTGGCCGAAGATCGAGAACAGGGGCTTCTATCTTAGACATAAACACAATGGCAAAGCTTGGTGCCAGTCGCTGTCCCATTGCCAACCCCCTTATTTGCGCGAAATATTTCCCAGACCATCTGAAAATCGAGCAGTTTAGGCACTCCTTAAAGAGAGTCATTAGCTGCTGGATAAACAAGCCATGCATATTTATTCTTCCTTCATGTTCAACAAGAAGTTCGACGATGCCTTACATTGCAGAGTCATTCGAAACGTTGGTGTACAGTGCGATAACGTCGAAAGAAGCATTATTAGGAGACATACGCTCTCTCGTCCATCACGTACGCGTTATTGGGAGACGCGTTACGTAGACGTTCTAGGAACACTTGGGTGTTTGTGAGGTGAGCTGGAATGTGGTTAAGCAACTGGGTAAGTATCAGGCTTAAAAACCAGGTTATTCTATCCGTTGGCCCGTCTACACAGTTGATGATCGGTCTAACCTTGAATGATGACGGATTCACTGGCAGCATTATGCAAGTTTACGTATCCTACCAATGAAGTTCTGATTTCTTGATATACAGAATCGCCGATTCTTGTACTTAAAACAACGGAGTTACTGAACACGTAGGATTTTGTCCAGAAGGACATGATGATATGAGTGAATAGGTCGTTAATCAGTATGGCAGCTGCCTCGCGTTAAAAATTTTTAAATTTTGATTTGTTCCTGAGAATCTTGACTTCGAACCAATTTTTACAAAAATTAGACAAGCTTAGACATGCATTACAATTCGTTATCGTTTGCCCTATTTTCAGCTACTATTATCACGTGTCACTTGGATACTTGCGATACTTGGACGGCTTGTCCTCAATGGTTGTGCGGGCGCCAGTATAATCTCCATTTTTCCGAATTTTCCTGGCTTAGCCACTACGCTTCCCAGCAGTCCCGAGGTCAGCCTGGCCAACGTCTGCCCCTGGTCGTCGCCACCTCAATCAGTCGCCGTCCTCGTGGATCAGAGGGAGATTTGCCACCACGCGACTAGTTTGACACCAGGACGGAGGTGGACCGTGGCATTTGTTTACTCTTAGGTAAGCTTCTTGATGGAAAAGTCGGACTCATCCTCAACTTGGGAGAACCTGCTGGGGTAATGAATCCCCCACTGTACATCACACTCCGACACCAAGGAACATTTCTCAGCCACGGTGAGGCGGTAAACCGTTGGGAACGTGTCACTACCATCTATTATTATCAATGCCGATCTTATTACTTATTATTACTGCTATTACTACTATTATTGCTATAATCAGAACTATTATTGTTACTGTTATTATTATCGTCACTATTATTACTTATTTTCATTACTATTATTATTATTATTATTATTATTATTATTATTATTATTATTATTATTATCAATATAAAGCGCTACAGATATTACATACTTTACACTACAATAATTTCATATCTACGTACAATTACTCATACACTTATGTTTTCCAAATGGAGTTCCATTTAATCTCAGGCGTAAACAATCAATATTTTCCTAAAACACTGAGCTTATCCAAAGCTGTTAAAACTTTATTTTGGCAAATGTTCGACGACTTCGCCTTCTTCAGCCGCAGTGATTTCAGTCGATTGTGCACAGCCATCCAATCTTCCTCCATGGCCGCTAGCTTTTGACAACCTCTTATGAGCTCAATAATCCAAGAAAACACTATATATACTCTTCCGATCAACGAGTTACAGCCTTCACGTGGATGATCGGTGTGCTTTGGCATTCTATTATGATATATAGCAAAGTGCTCGGCTTCCAAGCAACTTTATGGGATCCAAGGAATTCAACATTATCGCACATAAGCCCAGCTACGAGTAAAGCAGTGCTGGGAACCAGTGCTATCCTGGTAACAACGTTGTCATTAGACGACAAAGTGTTATGACATGGGGAACACGTAACACGACTATTTCGAGACTACACAGAAAGCAAACCTGGTCTAGCTAGAAAACTAGTAAAATGAAGATTATGGTGATGACCGTCTAATTCATCGTGATTTGTGAACACGGGACACTCAAGCGTACAAGTATGATTGCATACCCCCTTAAAGTTATGAAGCGAATTCTCTCCTACAAGCGTCTGAAGTTCTTAAGCTCTGAAAGGCTTAGTTGTTTAAAAATTATCGTCGTTCACCGAGAAACGCTTCACGGCCATATGTTGAAGAAAAGCAGAAATATTTACGCGGTCATTTATTACCATAAAAGATGGGTTAAAACTGCTTCTACAATGTAGAGAAAATTAGGAAGTGGACTTCTGAGTCACCATAGGTCACAAAGAAGGATGCTATGCAACAAGGCAGCGACTTTCCACTGACTATAAACAACACAAAATGAATGATTAAAAGACTAATACTTTTCAGAGAACAAAGTCGGTTATAGCTGCCGAAACTTTGTAAGAGAAACTATGAATGAAGAACAATCGGAAAAGGAAACAATCAGTGCAGATACGAAATAAATAAGAACGCTGAAAGGATGAAGAGAATTAAAAAACGAACACATAAAAGGAAAGAAAGAAGTAGATGAAATAAAATTAGAACATCCCCAGAATGAAAGAACAAAGGGTGAACTCTCGGCGTTGATCGGTCCTTGAGGGATGCGCAATGCAACTTACTTAATCAAGTATCGCTAGAAGTGAATGTAATATATATACGGTCTAAATGATGACTCGCGGTAGCCAACCGATGTACTAAGCCAGTGTAGCAATCCTTCCAGACATGTCTGTTAGCAATTTGCCGACCGCGGAATGGTAGACTTGGTGAGATCGGGACGTTCGGATCGATCCTGCGTGTGTATTGCAAACACCAATCATACCGCTACTATAGCAACTATTCCCAGAATAGTTCCTTTTTCTTTCTATATCTATTTATATCTTTCAATTACTGTATGTTTCTGTAGTATGGATCATATCCACTGTTTCTCAGGTTACCTAGCAAATGTCGTAGTACGTAAATATTTTGACCCCATCCT